TGATTCTCTTCACCTATTATAATGCAAGTTGACTCCTTTATATTATATAAATTGTGATGTGGGTGAACCCACAAACCCACCCGCATCATCCACCATCCGCCCGACCCAACCCGAGACTAAATGTGGGTGGGTGGTGGGTTAAAAATTATCAATCCATTTAAGCGCGGGTGAGTGCATTTTATGGTCAAAATCCACCCGACCCACCCAATGCCCACCCCTAAATTCCATTATGTTCATCCTACGTGACCTTCAATTTTTACATTTAATCATTAATTTGATGATGTGGCCATTAAAAAACCATTGATACTTCTCCACCTCACCACACATAACAAAAGGCCATTAATGTCCAGTTGCCGGCCGATGCCCTCCTCACACCTTTCCCTAATCCCTCAGATAAATATGACATGTTTTCTTTCCAACAAAATAAGCCCAATACTATAAACCTTTGTATCTTAAAACACATGTGATTCAGATCACATTGGTTGATGTAAAATCTAGTTTGGTGATTCTAAAGTTGTTCATGATACATTTGTTTACCTTCCAAACAATACAAAAGTGTTAGTAACACATGTAAGAACAGTCAAACTCCCAACATGATTATCCCTATATAATGTTCTATTTGTTTCAAGTTTTTCATTCAATATAGGTTTAGTGAGTAAGCTCACGATAGATTTTCCAATTTCATTACAATTCCAATCTGATCGGTGTGAAATTTCAGGATCTTCTAAGGATGAAGAAGATTGGTTTAGTAAGAAAAACTAAAGGACTTTATCAACTCATTCTTCCCACAAGCCAGAAAAAAGACTTTTCCGCCTATACCTAAACACCAAGCAATCTCTTAATTCAAATTTCAACCACATAATTCGACCTTTGGCACTGGAGGCTATGACATCCCCACCATATGATAGAATGTCTTTATATATTCCAAATACTATAAAGTATGTCATCTTTCTAAACATAAAAAGCTTCTCTAACTTGTTAGCAATAATATTGCACCTATAATCTTTCATTTGGTTCATATGGATATTTTGGGACCTCTTTATGTGCCTTTGTATGATGATTATAATTACATTCTTAGAATTGTGGATGATTGTTCTTATGTTGTATGTGTTTATTCGATGCAACATAAAAATGAGGTGAAAGGTTTGGTTGAAGGTTTATGCAATCTGGTCAAGAACCACTTCAATACCACAGTTAAATTTGCATGAAGTGATCACGGAAAATATTTTTATGTGTGATTTCATCACCTCGTAAAGGATTGAATATCAGGTTTTCTGTGTAGGAACTCCATAACATAATGGAAGAGTGGAGAGAAAACATGAACACATTCTCAAAGTGGCTAGATGATTGAGATTCTAATATGAAATCCCTCTCATCCTATAAAAGTGATTGTGTTCTACATATACCTCATTAACATAATTCAAACTCCATGAACAAGTCCTCATATGAAGTCATTGGCAAAGAACCTCCTTTTCTAGGACAATAGAGAGTGTGCAGTTGTTCTGCTTTGTTAGCACACTAGCTCATGGTAGAACAAAGTTTGCTCCCATATCTAGACAATGTATCTTCCGAGGCTTGCCTCAAGGTGTTAAATGATACAAATTACTGGACTTACAATATAAGAAATTTTTTGCTCTCCAGAGATGTGATCTTTTATGAGACTATTCTTCCCTATAGCCAGTACGAGTCTGGTTAATCTCATGTTCCTCCTCCTCCATCTCCCTCTACATCATATGTTATTCCTACCTTACATGTTCCTATTTCTCATTCTTCTTAAGCTCTCCCTCCATTTGTTTTATTCAAAGATGAAGGGGGAACACTGATAAAGCCACTTCTTCTGCTGGTCATTCTTTATATGAGTATTTTGATGTTAATAAGCATGAATTATTACCATAGAAAGATATAGACCCATATGATAATGATATAGTTAGAGAAGGTAGCACGCTAGAAAGATGAAAGACCAAATGGATACATGATTGAAGTTTAAAGATTTTAGTAATGTTAATGCTTGCATCAAATATATGTGTGTTTGAATGTCAATGTGTTAAGTCCAACAAACAAGGCATTTTCACTTAGTGTGGTTGATCAAGTAGAACCAACTTCTTTCTATGAAGCAATTAGAAGTGATGAATGGAATAAGGTTGTAAATGCAGAGATTCATTCAATGAAAGAGAATCGAACATGAGATATAGTGTCATTGTCTAAAAATAAAAAGGGCAATAGGTAACAAATGAGTATTTAATATCAAGTACATGCCGGATGGATTAGTTGAGAGGCACAAAACTAGACTAATGGCAAAAGGGTTCACTCATATATATGAAATTGACTTATTGGGCACATTTTCTCCTGTGGTAAAGAACAATTTAGTGAAATCCTTTCTAGCGGCTTAAGTATAAAAAACTGGATATTGAAGCAACTTGATGTCTCAAATGCATTATTGCACGGAGAGCTAGAAGAGGTGTATATGAAAATTCCTTTGGGAATAATAATGTCCAATGCCAATGGACATACTATGAGTTACCAGTGGAAGAAGTCATCGTATGACCTTAAACAAACCTCATGACAATGATTTGCAAAACTCATAGGATTCCTAACTAGAAGTTCTTTTGCAAAATCTATTGCTGACTTTTCAGTCTTTGCTAAATGGATACATGAAAGAGTTATCATTCTATTGGTTTATGTTGATGACATAATCATAAGGAGATGCTAAAAAAATATTTATCAAGTATAACAAGCACTAAGTTGAGAGTTTAAGATAAAGATGTTTGGGGACCACTAAACACTTTCTTGGACTGGAGGTTACCAAAAATGAAGAAGGAATGAGTGTTTGTCAAAGAAAATACTTTATTGAGCTATTGAAATATACTGGATATATGGAATTCAAGGGGTGAAAGTCTCCAATTGACACAAATGTCAAGCTAACTATGCAAGAAACCTTACCGCAGGATGGTGAATGCTCCAGAAGGTTTGGATATATGGAATTCAAGGGGTGAAAGTCTCCAATTGACACAAATGTCAAGCTAACTATGCAAGAAACCTTACCGCGGGGTGGTGAATGCTCCAGAAGGTTAGTAAGAAGACTCCACTACGTTACCATCACTAGATTAGATGTGACATTTGTTGTAGAACAACTTTTCGAATACCAAAGGAACTCTTGTGATGAGCATTTACAAAGTAACATGTAGGATTTGTATGTATTTGAAGAACTCACGTGGGTAAGGAATCCATTTCAGTAGCAAAGCATAGTTAAAGTTGATTGGTTATAGTGACTCTAATTGGGCAAAGTGCCATGTACCATAAGATTAGTTTATGGTTAATGCACATGCTTAGGGACATCACTTCTCACATGGAAGACCAATAAGTAAGCTATTATATCCAAATCTTCCTGGGAAGTAGAATATAGAACCATAGCACATCTTGTCAGTGAGATACAACGACTTAAAGGATTGCTTGCAGAGTTTCCCGTACATGTCCCCTTACCAATCGCAGTCTTTTGTGATAACATATATGATACCCACATTGTAGAAACCCCTATGTTTCATGGGAACATATTGAGATAGATATGCACGTTACAAATGAAAGAACTAAAAGTGGCTTGATCAGGCTGCAACATGGCGAGACAACTAATCAAGTAGCAGACTTGTTCACTAAGGGGCTCGATCGATTTCACATCATGGATCTTTCTATCAAGTTGGGAAATGCAAACATGTTTGAATTGCCAACTTGAGGGGGGATATCAGACTTATGAGTGAAAGATGTAGCTGGAATCTAGGTGAAGAAAAGATTGTGTCGAAGTGAAGAAGAAGGAAGAAGACGTTTTGGGTTTCTCGTTTCGTTTGATTAGCCCGTTAGTCATTTTAAGTGGAACGACATAGTTTATTAGTAGACATTATTAGTAGTTAAAGAATAGTGTTTAGTTTTGATAATAACTTGTAATAATTTGCCTCGTGTACGACCAGCTATTAATCAGTTTGATCCAATATTAAAAACAACAGAGGACTCTACTGTTTTCTGAATTTTCCCTTCCCGAATTTCCTTTGCACATCATCGATAATCGACCAAGAATTGAATCATTGATGAAATAATTTTTTTAAGGGTAAATACAATATATTAGCCACAACTATTATGAAGCGGGTAATTATTGCCACAACTATGGAAATTCAAATTATTAGCCAAACGTTAACTATCTGTTAACAATTCCGTTAGTAATACTAACTAAACTTTTATGTTTGAAAGTTATAAATTAAAAGCAGTTCGACGTGCCTGCTGTCGTGGTCGATGACGTGACCTTCTCCATTAAAAATTCAATAACAGTAACGGACAGTTAGCCATATCTTAACCCACAATAATAGTTATGGCTAATAATTTGGGGGTCGTTTGGATGGAGTGTTTGTCTGAGTTATTTGGGTTCAAATAACTCACAATGAGTTATTTGGACGTAAATAATTCGTTTGGAAGCGTTTTACTGAAATGAGTTATTTGGACAGTGAGTTATTTGAAATAACTTATACACATGTGTTATTTCGAAATAACTCGTTTTATCACTGTGTTTTTACCAAATACCACATGTCAAATACCACATTTGCATGGTTCAACCAAACGAGATACTTTATTTCAATTACCACTGAAATAACACTGAAATACCACATGAACAATAAATGAGTTATTTGACTCTACAAATACCACATTGACAATTAACCCATCCAAACGACCCCTGAATTTTTATAGTTGTGGCTATAATTCACCGTTTCGTAATAATTGTGGCTAATATATTGTATTTTTTTTTTATAACAAAATGAACTATCCTGCAATTAACTTTCTTTCTTAATTGTTCCTTCATCATTTTGTCAAACAATCCTGCAATTAACGTTCTTTCTTAATTGTGCCTACATCTTTTTGTTAACACAATCCTGCAATTAACTTTCTTTCTTTTTTTTTTTTTTTTTTTTTTTTGCCAAAGACAATTAACTTTCTTTCTTAAGCGTGCCATATGTTTTTTTGGCATATCCTACTCGGCATTTCTTTTCTTTCCTTAACTCAGAGCAGGGGAAGGAAGCAAACAAGAAAACAATAAGGAGGGAGGGATGGTCCAAATTCCCAAAGCTTCTTCACTGCTTCACCCTCTTCCCCGTTTCCACTATCTCCTCCAGATCTCTCTCACTTTCTAGAAAAACCTTTTTGGGCTCAGAGATATTGGAAGCCAAACAACGCACAAAGCCGCTTTTTCTCAGTTCACTTTTTACGGCTATGGTTTTTCCTTGAAACCCGGAAACCGGAAAGCAAGGTGATTTTCCCGCCGCCCGGCCATCGAGTCAAAACACTCTCTGGACTCGAGTCCTCGTTTATGGGGTGCTGCCAGTCATGCTTTACCAAGCCGTCGAGCTCCTCCGACGACAAATACCGCGTCCACGGCAACGACCATGACCACCAGCCGACCACCGGCGCCGCTTCCCCTGCCGCCAACGGAGGCGTCCCGACGTTCACCGAGTTCTCGCTCGCCGACTTGAAAGCGGCGACCAACAACTTCAGCTCTGATTTCATCGTGTCCGAGAGCGGAGAGAAGGCTCCGAATGTAGTGTACAAGGGACGTTTGGGTAACAACAACAGCAGTAGTGGAATTAGTGATGATAAGAAGAATAGCGATCGGAGGTGGATCGTTGTCAAGAAATTCACCAAAGTCGCCTGGCCTGATCCCAAACAGTTCGTTGTAAATTGGCCTTACCTCTTCTTTTCCGTTTCTGTGATTTAGGGTTTTATTCGTTTTTGCTGATATTGACTGTTAGCTTGATTTTTGTTCAAAGGATGAAGCGTGGGGAGTTGGGAAGTTGAGGAACAAGAGGCTGGCTAATTTGATTGGTTACTGCTGCGATGGAGACGAGAGGCTACTTGTTGCAGAGTACATGCCTAATGATACTCTGGCTAAGCACTTGTTCCACTGTGAGTACTTCCATTAATGGCATCTTCTTGCGCTTTTGTTCATTTTTGTCTTTTGATAGTGCTAGTAGAAACGTTGGCTGTTTTGGGCATTGTACATTGTGGAGGGTAATGAGGGAAAGTAGGTCCTTTTAAGGAATGACATTGATTGCTGTTCTTAGTTTGGCCTAGTGATTGCTCCAATTAGGAATCACAATCTTAGGGTTGCTAATGTTTGTTGACATCACTAGAAGATTTAGTACGGTTTTATCGATGCTATACATATCGATTAGGATGAGGGAGTCGTGTTTTTGCCGACTGGAATTCGTGGCCTATGTATGTAATGTTCTGTGGGAAACATAATTATTAGCTGTTTTTGGTTATTTCGTATTAGTGTCGGTTTTTATTGATTGGGGGATTATTTGGGTATTTGGGGGAATAAACAGGTAGTTAATTGTTATGTTTTATTATTCGGGTAGCAGATAGGAATTAGACAGATTATATATTCTGTAATAGGGTCTTATTTTGGGATTAAGCAATTACAGAACCAAAAACCTAAAACCTAACTCTCTCTTCTCTCTCTCTCCTGCGGATTCCCTCTCTCTTTTCCCCTCCCAAGCTGCGGCAGCAGCAGTCCCAAATCCTTCCCTCTTCTTGTTCTAAATCCCTAATTCTAATCCCTAGTTCGATCAATCCCTAATTGATCTAGCTAAATTCCCCAATTCCCAACCTGTAGGAAATCTTGTTTCCTACATCTGGTATCAGAGCCTGGCTCGAGAGTGAGTTCATCTGAACTCTTGAACCAGGGAAGGCAACGATGGTGACAACGAAATCGATGAAGGCGGCGGAGGAGAAGGCGCAGGCAGCCGAGAAGAGCACCGGGACGGGCGGCGTTGATCGCGATGAGGTGGTGATGGAGGACCTCACTGAGCTGGAGGCGGTGAAGGAGGTGGTGCACGAGCACTCTGATGCGTTGGCCAGGCTCGAAGAAGGCCTGGCAAGAGTGCAGGCTGATGCGAAGAAGGATGCTGACGATCTGCGTCAGAGGCTGGAGGACATGATGAGGGCAATTACCTCGCTGCAGGCAAGGGGGAGCGGACCAGAGAGGGCGCCGAACCCGGAGGAGTTGATGAACGAGGGAGGCGGCGGACCTGGCGCGGCGGAGGAGTCGGCGGGCGGAGGGAGCACCGCGGCGGCGGCGCTAGCGGCGGCGGCGCTAGCGGCGCCGGCGGGGGCGAAGGCCGCGGCGGCCGGGGCCGGGGGCGGAGCCGGCGGCGGGTCGGGTGCGGCGAGGGCGGCGGCGGCTCAGGCGGGCGCGCCGAGTGGAGGGGCCGAGGGGAGCAGGGTGGCGAACACCGGGCCGGCCAGGGCTGATCGGACTCCATTGGGGCTGGGCTCGGGCCTGTTACCGACACCCACGGCCCAAGAAATTGCGGCCCGAAAGGGAAAGGCTAAGATGGCTGGGTATGACGCAAATGGGCCTCCTTGAATGGTGGGCCGGGACAGATGGGCCAGTATACGAGGGTCCATAACGGGCTGGGATGGCTGGACCAGGAATATGGGCTCGAGTATGACCAACTAAGCTTGGCGGGCCAGCAGGCCCAGTGGGCTGAACAGGAGATGAATCAGAAGGGAGCGGGTGGGCCGAGCAGGGCCGCCGACCAGGTGGGCCCAGGCGGGGCGGCTCCTTTTGGGCCGGGACCGGTGGACGGGCCAGGAGGGGGGCGGACCGAACCGGAGCGGACCGGTATTGGTCGGACCAGTGTCGATCGGACCGAGTTGAGCCGAACCGGACCCGGGCGGACCGGGATGGGTCGACCCGAGGTAGGTCGAACCGGGCATCGACCGAGTCCAACTACCCAGCCGATCCGGAGGGCGGACAGCAGGGGTCCAGGAGGAGGAGAGGGCCATTATGAGGCGCCTCATGTCCCAGGCGAATATCCGAATCAGCCGGGTTGCTATCCGGGTGACTATGGACAGGGGAATCCTAACCAGATGCAGTGTTCTCAGTGGGGGCAGCCATGGAGGACGCCAGGAAATGACAGGTATGGGTCCCAGTATCCAAACTATGAGGGAATGGATGGGATAGTTTTTCGAGCTAAGCCTCCTACCATTGAGTTTCCAAAATTCAATGGGCAGGAGGATGCAGGTCTTTGGTTGTATGCAGTTGAGAGGTGGTTTAAGAACCACCCAATTCCGGAGGAGAGGAAAGCCTACCTGGCATCGTTCTATCTGGAGGGCGATGCGCTCCAATGGTGGGAGTGGATGGAGCGATCATATGCAGCAGCAGCAACCTTGATCACCTGGCCCATGTTTCAGGAGGAGCTCCGTTATCAGTTTGGGAAGTCGGATGGGTGGGCTCCTGAGCAGTTGGCTAAGCTGAAGCAGACCGGCACAGTGGCAGAGTACCGCGCGGAGTTCTTCAAGTTGGGGAACCAGTGCAAGGGGGTCTCGGAGGACACCTTGGTGGGGCTGTGCATGGCGGGCCTCAAACCCGAGATAGCAGCGGCAGTCAGGGTGTTTGAGCCCGATTCTGTGAAAACTGCTTTTCGTCTTGCAGGTCATAAGGAGGAAGAACTGGCTAGCTGGAGAAGCACCATTGGCCGCTTTTCAAAGCCCAGTGGAGGAGGAGGGAGCAGCAGTGCTAGTGGCGGCACAGGAGGGGCACCCGGGGGCTCGACTGGGGCCAATGCGGGCGGTGGAGGACCAGCTCCGGTGGCCAGGGTGGGGCCGCGGGCCATACCGAAGGGATTCGTGCGACTGACGCCGGCAGAGATTGAGCAAAAGAGGCGGGAGGGCAAGTGCTTCAACTGTGATGGCCGATTCACCATTGGTCATCAGTGCCCGAAGCCGGATTTGATGATGCTGGTTGGGCGCTGGGAAGATGAAGCAGAAGAAGAGGCTGAGGATGATGGAAATGGAGAGGAAGATGCCTAGTGAGCTGGAGGAACAACCTTGGGGACAAGGTTGTTTTTCGAAGGAAGGGGGGATGTGGGAAACATAATTATTAGCTGTTTTTGGTTATTTCGTATTAGTGTCGGTTTTTATTGATTGGGGGATTATTTGGGTATTTGGGGGAATAAACAGGTAGTTAATTGTTATGTTTTATTATTCGGGTAGCAGATAGGAATTAGACAGGTTATATATTCTGTAATAGGGTCTTATTTTGGGATTAAGCAATTACAGAACCAAAAACCTAAAACCTAACTCTCTCTTCTCTCTCTCTCCTGCGGATTCCCTCTCTCTTTTCCCCTCCCAAGCTGCGGCAGCAGCAGTCCCAAATCCTTCCCTCTTCTTGTTCTAAATCCCTAATTCTAATCCCTAGTTCGATCAATCCCTAATTGATCTAGCTAAATTCCCCAATTCCCAACCTGTAGGAAATCTTGTTTCCTACATGTTCCCTGCTTGGAGTCATTTGCATTTATTGCTTTTATGTTCATGTGGGAAGCTAAAGTAGTAAGTAAGGTCGAGTGTCGAAGAAGTCAGCCCCAGCCCCCAGCTAGTTAATTGGCTGGACTGTAGGTGGGATGATTTACTTCATGGTTTGGATGTATGATTATGATCTCATTTCACTTTACTTTGCGAACAGGGGAAAATCAAACCATTGAGTGGGCTCTGCGCTTGAGAGTTGCTTTGTACATGGCAGAAGCTTTGAATTATTGTAGTGCTGAAGGTCGTCCACTGTACCATGACTTGAATGCTTATAGGGTTCTGTTTGACGAGGTAGCGGTGAAGAACTTGGCTATCCCATGAGCTTGATTTTCCTTGAATGCTCATACTTTGTCCAAGTTGTTGTAAAAATTAATGATGCATACTTACTGGCAGAATGGAGATCCCCGACTATCGTGTTTTGGACTGATGAAAAATAGCAGGGATGGGAAAAGCTACAGCACCAATCTTGCCTACACACCTCCCGAGTATTTAAAAAATGGTAAGTTTTTGCTTTGCAGGGAAAAAAACTTTACCGAGTGTTAAATCATTACTGATATTCTGATTTCAGTGTACTCTCCATGAAGTTAACTAATTTCCTTTACTTTTAACTAGCTTGTAACCTCTGTACTTAATTTGAATAGGAAATCTTTTAGATAATTGATTTTATACTCTAAACTGCGATGTAGGTAGAGTCACCCCAGAGAGTGTTATCTTCAGCTTTGGTACAGTGCTTTTAGACCTTCTCAGTGGAAAGCATATTCCTCCTAGCCATGTAATTGTTACTTCTTAATCAATTATCTTTATGTGTGAAACCATGTCAATTCGTTCCATGGAAGCTTGAAGTTTTGATACTTGCATCCACGCATATACAGGCTCTTGATATGATCCGTGCAAAAAACCTCCTTTTCTTGATGGATTCACATCTGGAAGGGAACTTTTCTACTGAGGAGGCAACTGTAGTCTTTGATCTAGCCTCACGATGCTTGCAATACGAGCCGAGAGAGAGGCCAAGCACCAAAGATATTGTTGAGACACTCTCCCCTCTGCAGAACAAGTCTGATGTAAGAAGACATATCTTCTCAGTTTCATGATCCGTTACATCCAAGATAGATAGCACTTCTCTTTCACTGAGCGCTTCACCAAGTGGTGAAAATTTAGCTAATAGTTAGCTTGCTAAACTAGTGTGGAATCTTTTTCAGTAGCTATCATAGGCCATTATGGGATTTTTGTGCTAATGTGCATGATTATACAGGTTCCTTCCTATGTGATGCTGGGAATATCCAAGCAAGAACAAGCACCACCGACACCGCAACATCCTCTTTCTCCAATGGGTGATGCCTGCTCGCGAATGGACCTGACAGCTATACATCAGATATTAGTAATGATGCACTACAAAGACGATGAAGGAACCAATGAGGTGAGCAATTGCGGGGAATAACAATGTTATTGTTGATACTTAGTTGCTACGATGAAGGCTAAGTTGTTTGTTTCTATGCAGTTGTCTTTCCAGGAATGGACGCAACAAATGAGAGACATGCTGGAAGCTAGAAAGCGAGGAGATGTTGCATTTCGTGATAAAGACTTCAAAGCTGCCATAGACTGTTACTCTCAGGTGCGCCAGTTGTTCCCATTGTAGGCCGAATACATGATACATCTAACGTTGCTGCTAAAAGAATGTCGTCTCCATAAGAAAGAAAAAGAAATGCCATCGCCAATGTGCTTTAGGTTCTGATTGTTTCAAACAGTAGCTGATCAGTAGAAGCTGACTATTTTATGTCCAGTAGGAGAAGTTGAAGCACGTTTGTTTGAGAGTTGAGAAGTAACCTTGAGAAGTTAAAAAAAAAAAAATTGAAGTTCGCTACTGAAGTTCGGGAGGTGACTAGTAGTTGAAGCAAAAGGAGCCTGAAAGATTCAGGAACTAGTGGGAATTTCAACCCAAGTCACCCCATGAAATTCATTGCTATTTTGGTTGCAGTTCATAGACGTGGGAACAATGGTTTCTCCAACAGTGTTTGCGCGGCGGAGCCTCTGCTACCTGCTCTGTGACCAACCTGACGCAGCTCTACGTGATGGGATGCAAGCGCAATGCGTGTACTCAGACTGGTCGACAGCGTTCTACATGCAATCTGTAGCGCTGGCGAAGCTGAACATGCACAACGATGCAGCAGACATGTTAAACGAGGCATCTACTCTGGAGGAGAAGAGACAACGCAAAGCATCTTGAGATATGGGAAATGATTGTGTGTCGTGGTGGATTGATGATTATTGAATCGTATAAATTACAAATTTTTTTTTTGGTAGAATATAAATTACATTTTGGTTTAGGATGGATGGAGGATTTTTGGTCTTTGGACCTGTGGTTGGGTAACTCTGTTGTTTATTGGTTTGTTGTAGCCTTGTAATTGAGGGGGTGTTCAAAGTGTGTGTATAAAAGGCCAAATGTGTTTATTTTTTAGAGGGAAAAGAAGAAGGGATTTTCAGTGTTCAGAATTGTAAAATATAGAGTGGGAGAGGGGAAGGACAAATAATATGATTCTTGGGTTTAGACTTTGATGTTCTTCATTTTTCTTGTTCAACAAGTCATGAAATAAATCTCTTGTTGTTTCGGAAGAACCCTTTGTAATTAATTAATTAATTAATAGGGACAGTGGTCAATGGAAACTTCTTCTTCAAGGGATCAGCTACCAACTTCTTCAAGTATGTTTTATACATAGATTCACTGCGTAGAGCCTACTGCATCCTCCATAAACAGGGGAAAGGCAAGAACAAGAACCTCTTTCTTTTACATGTACAAGTGTGTTAATAATACATTTTTTCAAAAGTAACAACGACACGATGTTGCTCTCAGTCAATCAAGAAACATAGAGCTCAGCTTTTCCATCGATGAACAGACTCATGAACTCTTCCCCATCCACAGTTTCTTTCTCAATGAGCAGCTGAGCCAGCTTGTGCAGGATGTCGATGTGTGTCGTCATGATCTCCTTGGCCCTCGCATATGCTGTCTCCACCAGCTCCCTCACCTCTGCATCCACCACGTCTGCAGTGGCCATTGAGTAGTCTTTCTGTGACGCCATCTGCAACATCGAACATCGTGGTTAGGAGGCGCAGAGTGCAAAATCATAATCAAGTTTCGCAGTTTTTGGTTACCCAAGACTAAACTATTTTGGTTCTAATTTTGCATTTACAAATAGTTGTTAGTTTAATGTGGTTAAACGAACTTCCTTCTACGTCAGCTACTAATCATTAGCAAGCAGAGAAGTTATGAATATGAACAAACAAAGATGATGATGCTGCAAATCTATCCAGCCAACCAACCAACCAACCAACCTGTTGCCCTAAGAAGGGGTTTCCACCACCTCCGCCAATTGCCACTTGCCCGATTTTCTTACTGAACCCGAATCTCTCAACCATCTGCCTTGCCACCCTCGATACTTGCATGAAGTCGTTCGATGCTCCCGTGGTCACATTCTCTGTTCCGAAAATAACCTCTTCCGCAACTCTAGATTCACAAATGAAGTACAACAGATCGTCAGCATACCAACTCGGACACAATAGAACTCAACTCACATAGATCGAGTGAAATACTACCTTCCTCCAAGTGCCACAGCCATCTGATTCTCCAAATAGCTTCTGCTGTATAGTCCAGATTCCAGACGCTCCTCACTTGGAGCGAAGAATGTAAGCCCGCCAGCCTGTCCACGTGGTATGATTGAGATCTTGGCCACTGGATCATACTCGGGCATTAACGCACCAACTAAGGCATGCCCAGCCTCTGTAAAACGAAAGCTTAATGTAAGCATAGCAGTTTGTCAAACTAGCAAGGGAAATTTTGATGATCTGAGTGTTCTTGAAGCCCATCTTTTACCATGATAGGCGACTAATTTCTTCTTTTCTTCCGATACCACCGCATTTTTCTTCTCCGGTCCAGCAATAATCCTCTCCAAAGCATCGGATATCTCGTCTTTGCTTATTTCCTTGAGATCACGCCTCGCTGCAAGAATGGCTGCCTCATTCATTAGATTCTGCAGATCAGCACCAGTGAAACCAGGTGTTCGCCGTGCCATCTTCTCAAAGTCCACATCTTTAGCAAGTGCTTTCCCCCTTGAATGCACCTGCAATACCGTTGTCAATTGCATATGACATCATGTGTCCAAGAAGTAAGCTTAAGAAATCAGTGACATGCAATCATGCTAAAAATGAATGAAATTCACCATTGGCAATGCATACCAAACCTTATGTCCTCAGAGCAATGTAAATTCAACATATGAATGCATTCATCTTACTATCCTCTAATCCATTTCCCTTAAAATCAAGTTAAGTCTAAATTCACCATTGCCAATGCATACCAAACCTTATGTCATCAAAGCAATGAATTTCAACCTATGAATGCAATCATCTTCCTATCCTCCAATCCATTTTCCTTAAAAATCAAGTCAAATTCACAGAAAGCTGAAACTAACCTGTAGAATCTTCACTCTGCCAGCAACATCAGGCCTATCAACAGTCACCTGTCGATCAAACCTTCCCGGCCTCAACAACGCCGAATCAAGAACATCGGGCCTATTCGTAGCAGCCAAAACAATCACACCCGAGTTCCCTGAAAACCCATCCATCTCAGTAAGCAACTGATTAATAGTTTGCTCTCTTTCATCATTTCCACCACCCATTCCTGCTCCTCTCTGCCTTCCCACAGCATCAATCTCGTCAATAAACACAATGCAAGGAGCTTTCGCCTTCGCCTTCTCGAACAAATCCCTCACTCTAGAAGCTCCAACTCCGACGAACAGCTCAACGAACTCTGAAGCGGCGCAGGAGAAGAACGGAGTTCCAGCTTCTCCGGCGACTGCTCTGGCCAGGAGTGTTTTCCCGGTACCGGGAGGCCCGACTAAGAGACACCCTTTGGGAATCTTCGCCCCTAGAGCAGTGTACTTATCAGGGTTCTTGAGGAAATCCACGACTTCTTGGAGCTCCAATTTGGCCTGATCGGCGCCGGCCACGTCAGCGAACGTGACTCCTGTTTCGGGAACTTCCTGGAACTTGGACTTCGATCGCCCGAAGTCCATCGGGCCGCCCAACCCGCCGGGTCCACCCGGTCCGCCTTGGGACCGGCGGAAGAGGAAGAACAATCCAGCGAAGGCGATAAAAGGGAAGAGGAGATTGCCGATGAAACTGAAGAGTCCGTTACCGGAATCACCCTCGGAGACGGAAATATCGACGCCGTTCATCGCTAAGATGTCGATTAGGTCAGGATCGGCTGGGACGGTGACGGCGGCCCGGCGGCCGTCGACGGCGGTCAGCTGGAGGGTGGACCCGTCTTTGCTGAACCGAACCCGCTCCACTTTCCCCTTCTTCACCGCGTTCAGAAACTCGCTGTACCGCCATTGGGTTCCCTCGGGAAGGTCGGAGGCGACGGATTGAGATTGCGGCTTCGGAGCAGTAAGAAGCAAGTTTTGGGCAAAGGGGGAATTCGGAGAAGAGGGTTGTTTACTTGGTTGGGCTTCGATTACCTGATTGGTCGGTGGCGGAGGAGAGTCGACAGCGAAAGCTTGAGGGGTTAGCGCAGACGAGAAGAGGAGAGCAGCGAGTGTAGCTCGGGAAGGGAGGGATTTGAAGGAATCGGAATTGGCGAAGATGGCGCGGCAAGGTCGAGATTTTGATGGCAACTGGAGTGGGGATTTGGCGGTTTTGGGAGTTGGCGGAGAAATTAGGATGTGGGTTTTGCCGAAGAAGGTGGAAGAGAGTAAAGGGTTGGCCGACGCCATTGTTGAGCTTCGAGTAGAGTGGGGTTTCTTCGAGCTTTCTTCCCCTCCGTATATATATTATCCTCTTTCCACCGCAAATCTCTTCGAATTTCTTTGGATTTTTGCTGGCGTGGACGCAGGGGAAACAAGGAATTAACTACTAGTCCTAAACGAGAATTGCAATCCAGCTTTGATTTTTCTGTGACTAAAGAGAAGTTTTGGAGATTAAACACGAGCCATGAAAATGGGAGTTTTACGTGTAAGCTTCGTTATCCAGTCGTTTCGTCGTCTCCTTTCTTCCTCCCGCCGGCGTTCTCGGCATTTCACCGACAACAAATCGGTCCAAGAACAGGCAGTAACAATGGGCCCACGAGGCCGGTTATTCGCTAGTGAGAGCTCCCTAGCCCATTGATTAAGTAGCAGGCCCATTTAATTGGAAACGTGAGTTGCTTTATTTTTCTCAAGAAATCAGCCCAAGAGCCCAAACCCAATGAGCTTTACGTTCAAATGACTTCGTTTCACCTTCCTGCTTCCTCCTTTTCTTTAATCGTCAAAGTCGCAGCCCGACGCTACGACGGCGATTTCTTTCGACTGAAGCCCCCGCCGTCCATCGCCTCGGAAAACTGGAAATCTCCGCCGTGAGTCCAAAGCGAAGAAATTTTCTCCTAAATTACTGTGAGTACGTTTCTTTCGTTGAAGCTCAGTGGCCAATTCGCTACTCATCCTGCAATTTTTCGGATGAGTAACTGCTGTTAGTTGCTTTTGCACCGTTAGGGTTTTCTTGTTTGTGGTCAAGAGAAGATTTATAGATAATGGCGGCTGGATAATTAGTATAGTGTGATGCGTTTTGGTCGCAAAATGGTATCTTTATACTGAAGGCTGAAGTTGGTTTGGTTTGAACTTTCCAGCCGGAGAACTGGGTGAAGCCTGCCATGGCTGGACCAGCATTATCATCATCAAAAGCATTATGTATTAATGAGCTTCTTGTGCCTCACCATCTACTGGAAGAGGTTCTGGTTCGGATTCCTTTGAGGGATGTGTTTCGATGTATGTCTGTTTGCAAGCTCTGGCTCGCCTGTATTCAAGACAGTCCATACTTCGTAACACGGTTCATTCGCCGAAGGATCGAGACAGAAGAGGCATACAGTCAGCACCTGCTGTACAAGCAGTGTCTTTCCACAGGATTTCGTCTGGTTGCAACACCCATCTACTGCAACGTCGTCGATGATGGTTCAGACTTATCTTTGAATTTCCTCCCACTCCTAGCTGAGGAGGGTGATAATGGCTCGTTCCTGGTGCGGGGATCATCCAATGGCTTGCTCTTATGCTCCTCTTTCGGAAGAGGGCCTTGCATTTATTACATTTGCAACCCGCTCACCAAGCAGTGGCTTACCCTTCCGCCGTCCCCTTATGGTCACCAAGGCAGGTTTCGTGTCGGCCTTGTCTGTGAACCCTCCTACCACGTCAAAGATGAGGATGGCAGCTTGATCTCTTTGAACGATAAAGTTGGTTTTAAGGTGGTACGTTGGGGATACATTGGTGGAGATCTGGCTGAGGTGATACATTTCGAGATATTCTCATCCGACACAGTATGCTGGACTACATATAAGTCACATTTTCGAGAAAGTGATGTTCACAAGGCTATGTCAGGAACTCGGATCTTCTTTTCCCACGATAGGATGATCTATTGGTTGCTTGAAGGTTCTGAAATCTTGGTTTTCAATTTCTACACTGAGGAGTCTTGTAATCTGGGCCACCTTGCTCTTCCTTCAAATGCATTGTTGGCCCCTTTTAAGGGGTTTAACGAATGCCAAGGCTCACTCTGGCTAGGACAAAGTTTGGGAGCACAAGTGAGAGTTTACATACTGGTAGATGGTGAATGGTGTCTTAGGCATGATGTTAACTTCCTGGACGAGATGCATTGGAGCTCGAGTTCCGCGAAGGACGCCTTAAGAGTTCGTCCGGACATGTTCAACTTCCATGCTATGCATCCCAGTGATCCCACGGTGGGGTATTTGTCTGCCAGCAACCGTGATCCCAATTCGAATAATATCATATTCCTGGAGTGCGACTTTGCAGGCAGAATAGTGAAAGTGGTAGCCGGCGATTTGGATGGCAATGAGCAGTGTGACAGTTTGTTGTATGTGTTGCCATTTTCACTTCCACTTTGGCCAACCCCTCTTCCTGCTCTCCCTACTGCTTAAGTAGGTTATGGTATGTCCTTACTATTTATGTTTGTAGTCAATGGTGATTGTATATTTGGTTGGATGTATTGGTAAATAATTATTGGTATTTTAGTGCATTTGGAAGTTGATAAAACTCACGAATATATATGATGTAAACAGAAAATAAGAGTGAAACAAATATATTATGGTCAATTCCAAATGCATTCCCTCACTCTAAAATACCGAGGTTGAAAGTTGAACACATGATAGTTCCAGCTACGTGTGTTATCAGAATACCGAAATCTTGATTACCGAATTACACACTAAAATCAATTTCAATTTCAATCTTTAAATAATTTTGGTATCCCAATCGGTATCCCGGCGTCTCAATCGGTATTATCGAATATGAAATTAGTTAACTTTTACAATTAATAATTTATATAAATTAGATTTAATTGTTCAATTTAGGGTAAAGAGACCAAACAAGAGTTGGAGTTTGTATAGAGATAGGACATGGATAAGGAGAAAGGAGGAGATGTGACATATCAAGTTCTTGTCGTTGGTAATCTTTAATTCGACGAATTAGAGGATGAGAGACTACTACTAGTGTTTGTTTTTTTGGTGTTATGAAATTAATAAGACATCAGGTGAGAGACGAGAGTGACTTAAACTTGAAAGCCAAATTTGAGTTGGATGGGCACTTTTGAGTTGTGAAAGAGTGAGGAATGACCAAAAGTTGTATGCTATATTCATTAATTTTCAATTTTCCTTGTTTCCCGGTATTCGGTATATACCGCTCCCAAACACTCCATAATGAATCTCAATTTGTAAAACTAGCATTGTTAATGTGAATTAATAGACGTTTTGAAATAATATTGTCCTACACGAAGAACATATATATATTTTAATGACAAAGGAGTAAGAAAGCTATGAATGAATTTTGAATGAACATAGTGCGGTCATATTGATAAATGCGTTTAAAAATATTTTAGAAAATAAAAACAAATCATATTATAGGAAAATAACCGAAACTAATGTATATTATTTTACGTCGAACCTACATTAAACAAAATCCTTCCTCCCAATGCTTAGTTAATTTCTACCCCTGCACAACTTTAATTTAGTCTATTTCTACACTTTATAGCATGATTGTCATGTCGGTGGCATGTTAACCGATTAAATCTGATTCAACAGGTGTTGATCATAAAACTGGCATAAATACCACCGGTACAACTTGTATGATCGATAAACGACCACTCTCTCACTATCCCCAGCTTTGACTAAGACTAACATAAGGAAAAAGCAAAGACGAATTGAGAGAATCTGATCAAACCGACCTCTTGTCCTAATACACAGAACGAATATTTTAGTCCGGTGAGTTGGGCCCAATATATTCGGCCCTCATGGTGCAGAGCCCAAAGTCACGAAGTGGACCCAATTCGAAACATCCAGGAGCTTTCCTAACCGACCCGTCTTCCTTATCAGCTTCCTCTTTGTGTCTTCAAAGCGTGCATGGTCAGTGAGCTAACTGTAATTAAGTGGGGATCTAAAGAAAAAGAGATCTCATTAATATAGCTGAATCTGATCTCCTGGCATGTTTTGTCCAGACAAGAACAAAAGGAGCAGGTTCAGTCTACGTTTGTACTTTTTTCGTCGTAACTCGTACGTACAAACCCACCGGCTGGCCAGCTGGAATTTGGATTTTAGGGTATTTGTTTAATCGGTTTGATCTACAAACTGAACTTGAGGTACGGTATTGAATTGAATTGAAACATAATCAAAGCAAGATGCATCCATTTCCACGCTATTTGACTTAACATTTTCCGTCTTCTGCTTGTAGATAGACAGAAAGCCTCGTCATGAGAATGACGCTTCGCTAACACTCGGAAACACATATTTTGGAGCTTCTTGTCCATATACCAGTAATATCCAATAGAAAACAAAATTTTCAGCGATAGACAATACAAGGCAATTGTAACTTGTTCATCGATGCTTTTTTATCTCGGTTCGCCGCTTGTTTTCGAGCTTCTTTTTGTTGGCTAGTTGTCTCTATCGATGATGGAGTTAATAAATTGGTTCTGAAAAGTTACAAATTCACTTAAGTGCATACCGTTAATCTTGGTGTAATTTATGTCTGAGTTCATATGGTTAACCTTAAAATGTGTTAAGAGTAGTATGATAATGTCATCATATGCATGTTCAAGATTAATTATCACCCAACGAAAAAATAGTGTCTATTTCATGTTTATTTTTTCGTGAATTCAAATTCACCTCATATTCTTTATACAAACTCAATCTCAAAACAAAGGCACATAATTTTCATTAAACTCGCCAATTATTAATAGTGTGAAAACATACGACTTAGTCTGAGTTCGATATTCTTAACAACTGGTAACAAGTAGTTTGTTCAAACTTGATTTGAAGCAGACATCATTAAACAGACCTAGTTGTCAATGCACCTTCCTTCTTCCCCCTCCCTTTGTGTGCATGAACACGACCTGATACTATAATCGTGGTCAAGCCTCCTGAAAGTCACACAGAACCAACCCAACAGCTCTATCTTAACAGCTTAGTTAATTAAAATTTAAAACCCACAATACGTTTTGTCATCATACCACTTTGGAACCTTCCTTGGGACAATGGTTTTCATGTATCCGTACACTAATTTATACGTCTAATTTCCTCAACTTGTCGTTTCCTTAACCTCCCCACGACTGACTTCCGGTCCGGATAAGCTGCTTTCAATTATATAAACGTCCCACTAGCCGGTGACAGGATTGACTGCCTTCAACTTCTCACGCACTCTGCCTGTTCGATAAAATTCCCCTGAGGAGAAACAGTTGCCATAAGCTTTCGTGTTCTCTTATTCGTGCCGGAATTTCAGTAAGAAACTTTACGATCTCTGCATCCCATAAGCAGCCGATAACTGGGTTGCCTGCGTTCAGTTTCTTACACCACCAAAAATCCCGCTTTTGTTCACGCTCACCAACTGTTCGATAAAATTCCCCTGAGAGAAGAAGAAGAAAAAAAATTGACAACGAATGGGGCTCCCTAACTTCACAGCTCTCCGAGACTTGCACAACTCCGCCAACGACCTCCTCGACTCCCCGGAGCTCATCCAGAAGGTGACCGTCGGCGGCCGGAAGACCCACGAGTCCAAATGGCTGTACCAAGCCTCAGAAGCCTCCCTAAGAATGCTCGACGTGTGCGGGGTCTCGAAGGACGTTCTCTCCCTAGTGAAAGAACACCTCCTAGACCTCCAATTCACCTTACGCGGCCGGGCATTGTCCCGAAACGACATCGAATCAAAATTTCTCGCCTACAGCGACTGCAGGAAGAAGCTTCGTAAGGAGACATTGAAGTGCCTCAAGTCGCTGAAAGGGATGATGAAGGAGAGCAACAATCATCAGCTGGCTGTGGATTTCTGCGACGAAGATCTGGCGGTGGTGGCGGAGGTGCTGAGGGAAGTGAGGGGGAGCTCTGTTTCTATTGTTGAGTCGTTGCTGAGCTTGATCTCGATCCCGTGGCTGGATGACCGGAGCGGCAAAACGGCGTCGTTTGCGGGGAAGCTGATGCGGCGGCGTAAGGGGAGGGTGGGGGATTTCTGCGACGAGACGGCGCTGCAGACGGCGAACAAGAGATTGGAGGCGGTGGAGATTGCGATTGAGGATCTGGGGAGTGAGCTGGAGTGTATGTTCCGGCGGTTGATTCAGACCAGAGCTTCGCTTCTCAACATTCTTACTAATTAGTGTGAATTAGTGAAACTCTGATTCGGGTCGGTCGGGTAGGATTCGTACAGTGATCTTTGTAATTAACTTGAAGCTGCGGGTCACAAGGCAATCAGACCTTTTAGATTAGGGGATGATTGTAGTTTGTGACGAAGCGAATTGTTAGTGTTAGGGAACACTAGTTAAGAATCTTTTACATCTCTACTTTTCGTCCTTGTTGATTTAATTTGTTCTTTCTATGAGTTTGTTGTTAGGTGATAATGAGATATGTTAATTGGTTATTCATGTTCGGTGATAAACTGATAATGCGATCGATTAATTGGTTATTCATGTACTCTAATTAGCAAATAAATCGTACTCGGCTAGATATTTTCATAATTATTAACACACGACAACTCAAATGAGAAAAAATCATAGAAGTTATAATTCAGAGTAAGGAGGAGCTAAATATAAGAAATTAGGGTCTTTTAGGATTTAATCTATAGTTTGAAGGAGGAGAAGCATTAATATCCCTTATCTACCACTTTTGCTTGGCATATGGATACTTAATTATAATGTTAGACCAAATATTAAAAGGAACCGTAACCACAGGCATATCCATACCATATTGAGGTTGTCAAAGGGCACTCGTAATAAATTGGAAAAGTATTATCAACCTTCGAGTATGTATCTGGATTCAAACACATAACTCACACATTGATACGATAACAATTACCGATTTGCTACAACTTATATATTGTCATACTTACACCATACAATATAGTTACCAGTTACAACTCTCTTGGGTGATAGTAAAGATAAAAGTGGATCATTAACATATGTTAGTTTATTTACTTTGAATCTATTTTTTTATTATATCTGTTGCAATTGCATGGGTAAAATAATACTTTTAGTTTTGATCTAATTAAAAACAAGTTTCGAAATCGAGCATGCAATCAATTCGATAAGATTGCTTCATGAGATACATTTAAAGACATTTACCCAGGAGTATTGACAATGTACATAAGTTTACAATACTTTAAGAACGTGTAGGCACATCATTTTGTTTACGAAAATGACACTTGTATTAGTTGATTATTTCTTTTTCTATGAATAGGTTATTTGGATATTAAAATTTATATTATATTATATTTATATTACGTAAAATGATATTCCTTATCTGAACTTCTAGCTCCACCACTAACCGTAATCCCTCTTGACCCACACCTACCTCCACCACTCAACTACGCGATGACTGTTCCTAAAGATCATTAGAAATATATACAACTACTTCCCGAATTCATAATTACCATTCTTGAACATCATCATCGTCGTTTCTAAAGTTGTTCATGCTTATAACTCGTTTAGACACAATTTTAACTTGGTTAGCTACAACTCAAATGCTAGATTCATGTTTAGCCTTGCCCAAGTGACAAAAGCACTTCATTATAGTTGATCACTATGCAAACACTTGACCTCATGGTTAAAGGTTATTCGTGTCTTAGCCAGTTAGCCTGTTTGGTCTCGGTTTCAGATGGATTTTGTACAATCTCTTAAGTCGCAACCCAATTTGGAATGGATCGCCATCTAAATCAAGGCCCGTGGACATAGGAGGTGGCCCAAAAGGGAAAAGGCCGAAAGAAAGCCCAAGCGTGAGTAGGGCCGGCCCAATCTCCGATCGGGACAAGCACAACGCGTTAACGCCTAGGAGGAGCACGACTGGTGGGGCCATAATACTGACAACGCATTAAATAACGCCGTGGGCGTGCCTCGGGGAATGAGTACGAGGTATTGGATCTGACAAGGTGTCAGGAGGACAGGGTATAAATAAGGAACAACCGCCACATTTAAGAGGGGCTGCCATTTACTCACTCTATTTTTCCTCATCCTCTCTCTCTACTCTTTCTCTCTCTATTTACTCTCTCTCTCTCTCTCTCTATTTACTCTCGCTCTCTCTACTTACCATCTATCTCAGCTGTTTACTTATCCCCCCACACTAACTTAAGCATCGGAGAGCGTCCCGAGCCACGCCCCGGACCTTTTCTGCAGGAGACGGAAGCCTCCCATATCAAGAAGTCCGCGGATTCCTCACTGGTCTTCACAAAACCGCCTGGCACTTTCTAGGCGTAAACAATTTGGCGCCCACCATGGGGCCCTTGAGGTTTCTGCAACTTCTTGAGATGTCGGGGGACTCCATCACTCCCATGAAGGAGGTCGTCGAGCCGATCACGCTCCGAGATTTGTCGCCAAACGTCGAGGAAGAAATAGAGCTGGAAGACCGGGTGAAAAGTCAGGGAGAACAGATCACACAAATGCGAGGGATTATTAGTCAAATACTCTCGCTAATAAAGGAAGGGTTGAGGCGTGAGGAGGAGCCTGGACCATCCACAACACCAAGGGACAAAGGAAAGAAAAAGGCAGTAGAGATAGAAGATTCAGAAGACGAAGAAACTGAAGAAGAAAGGCCGGAGGCGGATTTGAGCTTTCTGGAGGAACACCTACAAACAAGCTTCGGGAAGGGAGGCGGAAAGACGAAAGGGCCCAGTATCTTGCATAATCCGCTTTCCAAAAAGCTGTTCCGGAGCCCGGTCCCTCCAAACTTTTCGTCGTTAGGTCTGCCGACTTACAGCGGAGATGCGGACCCGAATGACCACCTGAGTGCGTTCACGATGAAGATGCATTTGATAAATGCCACTGATGCGGACTTATGCAAGGCCTTCCCCATTACCTTTGGAGGGTGGTGCAGGACATGGTATACGTCCCTCCCTGAAGGAATCATAGACAACTTCGAGCAATTCGCGACCCTGTTCACATCAAAGTTCGCCTCCCAAATCCGAAGGCGTCTCACTGTCACCGCACTAATCAACTGCACGCAAGGTGAAGGGGAAACCCTGAAAAACTTCTATGACAGATGGAACACCATCGCCTGCGAAATACAGGGCGTAACCCCAAACGTGGCGGCTGGAAGTCTGAGGATGGCGACAAAGAGCAAGGAACTCCAGAGAGCGCTGATCAAAAAGGAACAAGATATCAAGACCTGGCCAGACTTAGACAACTTGGTAAGGCGGGCAATCATGTTGGAGGAAGCTTTGACCCCCGCCGACCGGGGGGGAAGAGGAAGAGAGATGCGGAAAGGGAACAGATCACCGCCCCGAAGAGGGCGGACACCAGAACGACATAATTACAAAGCAAAGGGAAGAGCAGGGGAAAACAAGAGAGAAGTTTATGCCACAGAAAGAAACAAAGATGAGATCCCGCCCCGAAAGTAGCAAGATGAAAGAGCCCGTCACGACACGCAGAGGCGGCCAGACGCCCCTGTGTTCAGAAGGTGGTGCGACTGGCATCAAAAGACTTCACACAACACTGTGGACTGTCGAGATTTCCAGTTGAGCCTCGCTAATCTCGCACCGGGTGACCTGCGGAACAGATTGGAGGCAAAGAAACGAGAAGGGACCAGGTCACCCTCTCTGAGGCGGTATCGAAGCAGGTCTCCGAGGAGACCCCGTTCCAGATCCCGAGGAAGAAGGTCGAGGACGCCTCGGAGGTCGAGGTCCAGAGAGCGAAGGGAAAGGGGGAGGCTCCCGTCACCACCAAATGCGTCCCCCCCCCCCCCCCCCCCCGAGGAGGCAACCTCGCTTGGACGAAGATGACCTGGAGATAATAACCATCTCCGGGGGAAGGAAGCTTCCCCGGAACGCCTACAAAGTCACAAAAACGCTTATTGACAACGGGAGCTCCGCCGACATTCTGTTTTTCTCGACCCTCAAGAGCATGAAGAAGGGGGTCGAGGACCTCAAGCCGTCCACGACGCAGCTCGTGGGATTCTCTGGGTCCAAGATAAAGGTCTTGGGCGTAGTCACGCTACGTGTTACGATCGGCGAAGGAAACATAACCAAGACAAAAGCGATGGAGTTCTACGTGGCGGATTTCCCGTCAGCGTACAACGCCATCCTTGGGCGTAGCTTCCTTGCTACTTTTGGAGCGGTGGCATCCACGTGTCATCAAAGACTGAAGTTTACGGTAGGGAGCGGAGTAGGCTGCGTGAAGGGAAACACACAACGGGCCCGGGAATGCTACCAAGCTACCATTAAACAACTGGAGGTAGACTTGGTGGATACAAGAGGAGATCATCCAAGGCCGGAGGCGTTGGAAGGGGACGTAGCAGTACCGCTATGGGAAAATGAGCCGGAGAAAACGGTGCGAATATCGGCGCACCTACAACCCGAGTTGGCAGCAAGCATGCTCCGCCTCCTACAAGAGTTCTCCGATCTCTTCGCCTGGGGACCGGAGGATATGCCGGGCGTGCCACGTGAGCTCGCCGAGAAGCAAATAAAGTCGAACGCGCGTCCGGTAAAGCAGAAGCGAAGAAACATATCGGTCGAGAAGCAAATGGCACTGGAGGAAGAAATTCAAAAACTCCTCAAGGTGGGCTTCATCAAGGAAGTGAGATACCCCACCTGGCTTGCAAATCCAGTTTTTGTCAAGAAGAGCTCAGGTTTGTGGCGTATGTGTGTGGACTTCACCAGCTTGAACAGCGCGTGTCCAAAGGATGCGTACCCGCTCCCAAGAATTGATCGAATCATTGACGCCACAGTCAATCACTCCATGTTAATCTTCCTGGACATGTTCTCGGGATATCACCAAATCAGCCTCGCTGAGGAAGATCAAGAAAACACCGCCTTCATGACGGCCACCGGAAACTACTGTTGGGTAGTCATGCCCTTTGGTTTGAAGAATGCTAGAGCGACGTATCAGAGGATGGTGGACGCAGTGCTACGCCACCAGATAAGGCGGAACGTGGAGGCCTATGTGGACGACGTATTGGTAAAGAGCAAGGAGGCGGGAACTCACCTGCAAGACTTGAGGGAAACGTTTACGAATATGCGGAAACATGGGTTGCGTCTAAACCCAATGAAGTGCGTGTTCGGAGCTGAGGCGGGAAAGTTCTTGGGCTTTCTAATCACGAAGCGGGGAATTGAAGCTAATCCGAAACAGATCGAAGCGATCTTACAACTCAAGGCCTCGAGAACAATCAAGGAGAT